TAAAATGAAAATTCTGTGTTGACTAATATAGTAGAAATTTTGTGTGGAATATATTGCCTGTCACTTGAAATATGCATTTTTTCTGTTAGTAGATCTTTAATGATGAACTGTGTTTTCCTTGGATGTGTAATCATTGCTTTTGGTAATTTTTAGGATGCCTTTTTCTTTTCTCTGTTAATTGAAAGGATCATGGATTGGGTACACCTATATGTTGATTTAGTTACACAGATAATTGATTATTTTTTCTTTGAGGAATTTTGAATTTCTCGTGTTTAATTTGGTTTTGGGTTAAGGATGATTGCAAAATTTATGAAATGCAATTTGATCTTTGGATTTTATTTAGCTTTTTAATGTCCTGATTAAGGTAAAACATTGCATTCGCTTAGATATTTCATGGGTAATTATTGACGGGTTTCAGATACATGGATTTGTGATAGCCACTTTGTCAGTAATTAAATGTTTAATTTTGAACTACATTATTTCCCGAAAGTGTTGTCTTTCGATTTATTAGCACATCTTTTTTCATGATTATGGGTGTTACTCCTTTGTGTTTAATTAATATATGACAAGGGATATTAAATTTTGCTGCATGGGATTCATTGCAAAGCCATGGTTCATTGTGTTTTGAATAATGCTTTGACTCGTGAAAACAATTCTATTTCCTTAACATGAATCTTTAGTTGAATGTGAAGAGTAGTATACTGTTTTGCGGAGAAAAAAATATATTTATGATCTTTCAAAAAATACTGGTGGTATCTTTGGGATTATTACCTGATTATTTGTAGAAGTTGAATCATCAAATTACAGACTTGTGTTTAGCATTAGGTCTATTAAAATAATTTATAGTTTAGGATTTAGCAAAAATGTTGGTTGCATCTTTGTAATTAATGTCTAACTAATCAACCTTGAGGGGTTGTTCAGTTGGTCAGGCCTTGAGTTTGCTCCCCAATGGTCATCAGTTCGAGTTCCCTCAGGGCCACTGAGGTGAGTATCTTTCCGTAAACTTTAGGGCCCCGTGGGATTAGTCGAGGTGCGCGCAAGCTAGCCCGGACATCCACGGTTATAAAAAAAAATAAAAAATTAATGTCTAACTAATCATAGGAGTACATCAAATACGAACTTGTGTGTTTAGCGTTAGGTTTTGGGAGACGACTAGTTATTGTTGGTGCTGATAATTATAAAGTGACAGGGATATTATTTATAGCTGTAAATTGGTAGATATGGCTTCTCTGATGCGACTAAGATGTTCTCTTCTTGTAACCTCCAAATATTTGGAGTTGCAAACAAAAGACTCAAAATTGGATCCCAATCTATCATATGTTAGAAAAAGTCTAGCTATGGTTGAAGATGTGTTCGAGTTCTTTTAACTTCTAGGTTTAACTGGGTATTTATGACAAAGAGAGGAAGAAAAGAATGCCAATTACCAATTACAAGGCTTTGAGGTAGAAGACCAAGCTTCTTCTTGTTGTTGTTTGGGCGTAGGGTTTATATGCTATGGATTGGTACATCTGTGTTGATTAGTTACACTGATAATTGAGTATTTTTGCTGAGGGATTTTGAATTTCTTCTGTTTAATTTGGTTTTGGATTAAGGATGATTGCAAAATTTATGAATTGCAACTTGATATGTGGATTATAATTAGGGTGCGTTTGGTGTAGATTTTTTTGATAATAGATTTTTTGAGTTATTGGTCCACATGCAAAATTATTTTATTTGGGAAATGTGTGGTTAAAAATGAGTTTGGAGAAAAAATAGTTTTAGAAAATGGGGGCCTAACAAAGGCTTAGTATTTCTAGTGTTTTGATTGCAGGGAAACTAGGCATTCACTAGAAATTGGTAGTTATTGATGGATTTCGGATTCCTGAAAGCCACATTGTTGGTAGTGATTAAATGCTAATTTCAGCCTAGATTTTTTTTCCAATATGCTATGGTTGTCTCCTGATTTTATTAGGATCTCTTTTTTCTCAATCATGGATGCTACTCCTTCGTGTTTATTTATTACTAGGCTAGGGATGTTAATTTTTAATGCGTTTGCAAAACCATGGGATTCATTGTGCATTGATTAATGGTTTGCCTTTGTCTACACACTTTTATTGCCTTAACCTGAGTCTCTAGTTAACTATGAAGAGTAGTATACTATTTTGTGGAATTGAAATTTGCAATTTATTATTTTACATAAATATTGGTGGCATCTTTGGAATTGTTATCTCGAGTATTCATAGGAGTTAAAATCATCTAATTACGGACTTATGTTTAGGATTAGGTTTTAGAAATCACGATATAGTTGAGGATTTAGCATAAATGTTGGCGGCATCTCTGAAATTATTGTCTGGCTAATTGTAGTTCGCCAAAATACAGCCTCGTGTGTTTAGCATTAGGTTTTGGAAGATTACTTGTTATCATATCTTCTAGTAACATTTTAAGGTACATTCCACCTACACTATGCCCCCGTTTGTTTCTGCATTTTTTGCTCATTTTAGAAGAATTAGGACCGTTGCACAGTGTCACAGCCACCATTGTTGACTTCCTTCTCTCTTGGTGGGCCCCACGACTTTGAATATAACGGTAACAATTCTCATTTTTATAGGGAAATGATGAGAAACAAACAGACGCTATATCTTTCTTTTGAAAAATGCTCAATTCTATGTCGAGTGTGCGAAATTAGTTCTTCATAATGATTTACTTGTTTTAATGAGCAGCTCCTACTTGTCAATCACAGATTTGCTTATATTAAGATGTGAAGTTGGAAAAACTGTGAATGCCTGTTCAAATGTGTTGAAGGTGCAAATTCTATTCATATACAAGTGGGCATTTGTGATTTGTCCATCTAATGTTCCATTACAAATGGATTTGACCGTTAGGATTTCAAGAAGTTAATGTTTTAAGGTACATAAAAAGAATTTCGAGAAGACAAATGGAGAAAAGGAGTTGAACGCTTTCTTTACGGGGAAAGCTGACCCAATCTTGTAGGTATGGTTATAGTTTATGCATGTACAGGGATGACAACAGTGTAGGATGGTTGATTTATCCCCCATTGGTAGGAGTCTCTTTAAAAAAAAAAAATTATATATATATATATAGAAAGAATTATACAAAAAATTGTTATTTGCCTTAATTTTCAATACATGGTCCTTGAGGGGAAGGGCCAGAGGTAAAATGGAGTTGGAATTTGAATTTGAAATTTATGAAATTATTTAAATGATGAAAGTAGGGTAGGTTCTTGTCTACATCAACACAATAGGCTTAGAATCCTTACTTGGCCACCAAAATACGTCAGTTAGTTTACTCGACCGTTGTAGATGGATGGAAATGCTGACTCAACTATGGCTCGAAAATAACTAACTCTGCTTTTAGTTTTACATTCGATGTTGATCTGGTCGGCCATTGTTTGTCTCCCTTGGTTTGCCTGTCTCACTTATTTTTTTAAACACAATTTATAAATTCTTAAATTAGAAAGAAATCCAATTTCAATTTTCAAGTTGAATTGACTTTTGAGTTTTGACGATGATTTGACTTGTTACATTTTTCAATATCATTATCCATAGTCCAATTTACCACGACATTTTTGGAACGTTACCTCTTAAAATTTTACATTGAAAAGGACAATACCACAAAAGAAAAATGAAAAAGAAAAGATGAAATAATGCCACATGATTATCAAGCATTAAGGTATAGTCCTTTTTTTTGGTGCTCATTATTTAAAAAAAAAAAAAAGTTTTGAATGATGTTTTTTAGGAGAATGTGTGGTTAAAAAGTAATGAATTTTTTTTGGCTTATATACAAAATATTTTATTGTGTAAATATGTAATTGAAAAATAAGTGTAGAAAAAATAGTTTTCAAATAATAATTGTCGAAT